TGAATAAAATATTGATCAGATTCCTCAAAAGTCTCTTTCCACCAATCCGGAACCTGGTTCTCCCATAGGCCTTTACCTGGTCCTCTCCATGCTCATGTGTCCATTTTAAGCCTATGGCTTTTTCCCTTTCCCACTTGTGGAAGGTTGCAATCCTTCTATCTATTACCTTGGTGAGACATGTCTCTAAGATTAAAGTAGGTCTGGGTAAAATCTGGCCTGTGGGCCAGATTCTGTCTGCCACCAGATCCGGCCCGTGGATGGTTTCTGGCCAGTAACTGGCCAATGGGAACTGCTATTTGAATAACAGACAGAACACAAAGCAACACATACCCCTTCCCTCTGGCTCAGTTATTCACACAAGCACATGGCCCTGCAGCCTGTGTGGGGCGGGACAGGCAGGCTGGCTGGCTGAGAAATGTTTTCAGATCTGCAAGCATTTAGCTCTGCAGGATGGCTGGGCTGCTGGCTGGTAAGTCATCTGGTCAGAACCTACCTCTAGCACCCAGGCCCCTCCCTTCCCTAGCCCTCTGCCCTCCACTCCTGCACCTATAGCCCTACCAGATCTGGCATCACAGATCACAATCTCCCCCTACCCTAGGTTATAACCCAAACCTCTGCACCCCAATCCCCTGCCGTAGATCACGTCTGCCTTCTTCACCCAATCTCCATCCCAGACCCTGCACCTCCTCCATCAATATTATGGAAGAGTGCGGCCCTTGACCACTTACCAAATTCTTGGAGTGCCCCCCCCCCATAAAAATTATTGCCCACCCCTTGATTAAAGCGTTCACTTTGGAGTCCCTTACACCGTGCTCTACAAGGACAAGGTCCACTTGTGGTCTTCCTGCCAAATGTGGTATCACATTTTCACGTGAACCAGGATCTCGTCCTCCCCAGGTTCCGTCTAAAACCTCACATGACCAAGGAAGAGAGGTGGCTATGCATTTGAGATGTCAGGCATGCTATGGTTGTCTATCTAGAGTGCACCAAACCCTTCTGCAGATTTGACCCAGCTCTGCATCTCAGCAGCTGACAGGGTGAAGGACAGTCTGGTGTCCTCTCAGAGGGCTTCAAATTGGATCACCACCTGCATCCATTCTTGTTACTAGATGGCACAGATTATGGCACCACTGATGTGAAGGCTCACTCAAAATAGAGCTCAGGCATCATCGGCTGCCTTCCTGGTGCATGTTCCTATCCAGGACATCTGCAGTGCCATGACATGGTTGTTGGTACACATTTTCATGACACATTATGCCATCACTCAACAAGCCAGAGATGAGTCAGTTTTGGCAATGTTGTGTTGCAGTCAGCATCCATGAACTCCTACCTGACTTCGGTCATAATGATTGGAAGTTGCCTCCAGTGAAATGGACATGAGCAAGCACTCGAAGAAGAAAAAGAAACTGTTGTTTGACATGTTACTCACAGCTCTTCCATAACCTGCCCTTCTTCCCCTCTGTTGGAGTTCTAGCGAGAAGGAACTGAGGGAGAGGAGAGCTGGCAGTGTCTCTTATGTCTTATACCACTAGAAGACACCAGATCTGGTCACCTACAGGTATAACTGAGGGAAAATTTTCCAGCACTGGTGCACCTGGTGAGCACACATACACCTATAATGTAATGGATAAGAACAACAGTTACAAAAAATAACCATCCCTTCCCTGCTCTTAATGCGGGGACAGTGTAATAAGCCCCAGACTTATTTAGAAAACAGTGATAATTGTGGTCATGTATATGCCATCTTACAGATATGAATGATTAGTTTGAGGTTAGTAAAGGGGTCAAAACCCTTGTCTCTCTCAGTTGCTCGTATTGTCCCATACCACAGGTCTTGGAATCTGTGCTCTATTTTGCTACAATTCCTGCTCTTATTTTTGTGTTCTTTTTATTTGTATGATAGTATTATATTATATTTTAGTACAACTATATATAAAAATATAGTTTAGCGGTAATTTTAGTTTTTATGGTACTTAGCTCTCTCTCAGTCATTGTATAGTTCTAAGCCAGTTATTGTTCAGGCTGTTCCAGGGCTTCAATTCCTCCTGTCTGATCTTTCATCCAGCTAGAAGCTGATCTTCCTCATGGCATGCCTTGATAAAATTCTGGATTAAACTGCATATATCATTTGGAAAGAAAGACCTGTTTGTGCTTTTATTGAAATCAGTACAGGCAGTCCCCGGGTTACGTACAAGATAGGGATTGTAGGTTTGTTCTTAAGTTGAATCTGTAAGTAAGTCGGAACTGGCGTCCATATTCAGCCGCTGCTGAAACTGACCAGCGGCTGACTACAGGAAGCGCGAGGCAGAGTTGCTCTGCCCCGGGCTTCCTGGAATCAGCCTCTGATCAGTTTCAACAGGCTGAATCTGGATGCCAGTTCCGACTTACATACAGATTCAACTTAAGAACCCCAGGCGTCCCCAAGTCAGCTGCTGCTGAAACTGATCAGCGGCTGATTCCAGGAAGCCCGGGGCAGAGCAACTC